ATTTTTTTATTTATTGTAGAGATAAGGTCTTGCCAAGTTGCCCAGGCTGGTCTCAAACCCACAGACTCAGGCAATCCTCTCACCTCAACCTCCCAAAGTGCTGGGATTATAGGCATGAGCCACCACGCCCAGCCTTGATTTATTTTATTTTATTTATTGTAGAGATGAAGTCTCAACCTGTTGCTCAGGCTGGTCTTGAATCCCTGAGCTCAGGCAATCCTCTCATCTCTTCCTCTCAAAGTGCTGGGATTACAGGGATGAGCCACCATGCCCAGCTAATAAATCTACCTTTCTTAATTTAAAAAAATGCAAAGAAAAATTTTGTCATTGTCAAGTGTTGTCCAAGAGAGGCACAGCCTCAAATCAGAGAGAAGTAGCCCAGGTTGTGACTCATTACCAAAGAGAAGCATAATTATTATTTAGATGAAATTGGGCATATTCAGGGTGATATGTTTGTAGTTTTTTTTTGTTTTTTTTTTGAGTTGAAGTCTCACTCTGTCGCCCAGACTGGAGTGCAGTGGCTGCTCCCGGCCACCGCAGCCTCACCTGCTGGGTGCCAGCGATCCTTCCGCCTCAGCCTTCCAAGTAGCTGCAAATACAGGCGTGTGCTACCATGCCCGGCTAATTTTTGATTTACTGTAGAGATGAGGTTTCGCCAAGTTGCCCAGGCAGGTCTCAAACCCGCGGGCTCAGGCAATCCACTCACCTCAGCCTCCCAAAGGTGCGGGATTACAGGCTGAGCCACTGAGCCCAGCTTGTTTGTAGATTTTTATCATTATTTAGAAAGAATTGGCAAAAGATCTTGCCTTTTACACTGTGCCTCAAAAGTCAACATTTCCCAGAAGGAAAATATATAATCTTCCACAGAAAATGATCTCTACCTTACCTCTTGATATTTACTCATTATTTAAAATTTTTAAAGACTCAAATGAGCCCCAGGTAAAAGCCAACTTCCCTGTTTAAGCTAGACCACTGAGATGAACATGTTACAGTTAAAGTTTTTACAAAGTGATTTCCTCAGTAATTGTTTGAGTGTGTTGAAAAGGGAATGAGAGCGTGGACACCTGGACATGCTCAGCCGTGATCGTGGAGTCAGCCCAGGTCATGTTCTTTACCTGCTGTAGACTAAAACAGACAAGGATAGCGAGAACCAGGAGGTCGAGATTGCCCGCTGCCGTAAGGGGCAGTACTTTGGAGAGCTTGCACTGGTCACCAACAAACCCAGAGCTGCTTCAGCTTATGCAGTTGGACATGTCAAATGCTTAGGTAAGAGAAATTACTTATGCGTCAATACTTTTTTCTAACATGCAGTATTATATTTTCACATCAGTGAGCTTTAACTTATTCCACCAACTCTGACTCTCACATCTACACCTGAACAGTTTGTGTGACGAACAAGAGATGAGTGAATGTATTCTTTTAGCAAACATTTCTGAGCACTAATGACAGCTTGTGGAGAAGACAGGCATACAGGCCCTCTGGCCATATGTAAAGAGCAGTAAAGGAGGCAGGTGCCCAGGGCTGTGGGGGAGTGGGGAGAACAGGTGCTTCTGAACTCTGTCTTGAACTTAGATGACATAGTCTACTGTGTTCATTTAGAAATACCCTTTTCTTAAGTGCCCAGTATCCCTTTTTCCTAAGTGCCCAGTATTCCAAAGTCTAATCTCCTCCAACATAAATGAGTATATTTAGGAAAAAGTTTTCTTCAGGGAAATAAGTTGAATTGTTAGGGAATTCATTCTCTTCCTCACCTCTTTTTAACAATGCAGCTATGGATGTACAAGCATTTGAAAGGCTTCTGGGGCCCTGCATGGACATCATGAAGAGAAACATCTCACACTATGAAGAACAGCTGGTGAAGATGTTTGGCTCCAGCATGGATCTGATCGACCCTGGGCAGTAGGTGTGCCACACCCCAGAACCTTCTCAGTGTGACACCAAAACCTTCCGGTCAGCCACAGAACACACACAGAAAACAGACACAACAGAACCGTTCCTGTTATTGCCACCTCCGCTGCCATTGCGCTGGTTATGGGCATTTAAAAAATTTGAAAGTCAGCACTAAAGGATGGGCAGAGGTTCAACCAACACCTCCACTTTGCTTCTGAAAGCCCGTTTGATTAGACCACTCGTAAAGATTACTCCAACCCAGTTTTCACATCTTTGGTTCAGAATGGCATGTCTCTCCAACAATTTAAGTGCCTGATACAAAGTCCAAAGTGTAAACATCCTCCTTTCTTCTCTTGCTGCTACTATTGCTTTTGGAAGTTACCACAAGGTCTGTAGAAACCTGTTGTATAACTGAAAACACCCTCTTTCAGTCTTTCTCAAAGGAGAAAATGTGGTACCCTTTAATCTCCTCATTTGTCCTTTAAAAAAGTCCACATTTGTTCACAATTGCAGCCTTTGGTATTATAATGGAAAATGACAGCAGATGAAATGGACATCTATAACCCAATGACATTGTCCTGTCTGCTGACAGCTGCATTCATTACAGTTGTCTCCAAACTCACAGTGATACTTAGGGAAAGGCCCTGCCCAGGGCCCAGCAGGACAGCACCCCAGAGCAGACTGGTCAGTGGGACCCATGTTAAAGCAGAAAATTGGGATTTGGCACATTTTACTGGTAGTAGAGAGCAAGGAAAGACGTTCCAGGTTGAGGGTTTTGTGTTTTTAAAATTTTTTTGTAGGTTTTGTTTTGTTTAACCTCTGTGCAGTTTGCATGAATGAATTGCCATCCATTTATGAGGAGCCGGGGTCTGGAGAGTTGCCATCACTCTATCCCACCCAAATACTCTTGGGTAACTCCTGCCTTTTGTTTCCAGCTGCCCCTACTGGCTAATGGCTGTATACTGGCAAGAGGTTATAAAGAGAGCTGTTCTATTTCAGAGTTGTTGCATAGCTTTGCCATTGAACCCATCAGTTTTTAAACTCTTTAAAGAAGCAGCAGCTATTTTTTTGAAATCAAAGGAAACAATTTCTCTATTAGGGAATTCCACTTGAACATATTCATGTATATGGAGTTTGTCAGCTGACTCTGGCATTCACCCTAAAGATCAACTTTGTTAGTTTTTTAAAACTGTCATCATTTACCATTACATACAATTGCTGTGAAGGCCTTTCTGGTTAAGATGTTGGCATACTTGGGGTTCCAATTGTTAATCCTAGAAGAAGATAATTTAGCTTGTATTTAAAACCTTTTTAGCCTTTTAATTATATCAGGTAGAATTCCTGTGAATTGTCCTAATTACAGCTATATTTCATTTTTTTTTTTTTTTTTTTGAGTTGGAGTCTCACTGTCACCCCGACTGGAGTGCAATGGCCGCTCCCAGCCACCGCAGCCTCGACCTGCTGAGCTCTGGCGATCCTTCCACCTCAGCCTTCCAAGTAGCTAGAACTACAGGCGTGCGCTACCATGCCCGTCTATTTTTGATTTATAGTGGAGATGAGGTCTCGCCAAGTTGCCCAGGCAGGTCTCGAACCCGGGCTCAGGCAGTCCACTCACCTCAGCCTCCCAAAGTGCCGGTATTACAGGCTGAGCCACCGAGCCCGGCCATTAGCTATATTTCAAAATTAATTTTTTTTTCCTTCAGAATGACTTAGAATCAGATGCTACAGGGGCTCTTAGAAGCAGTGTGAAATTTACTTAAAGATAAATTTGAATGTCATAGTAGCCAAATTTATATTAAACCAAGAGACCCTTTCTAATATGATTTTTTGTTTTCTTTTTAACTTGTATAACCCAATAAATCCCTAAGAGATTACATACTAGGGCTTGAGTCTTTCCTATTATAGGTCATAATGGAGCCCATGCAGTCACCTTCCACTGTCCATATAGGCTAGGTTCTCTGCTTTTGCCATGGACATTGTGACCAAGAGATTTCCAGAGTGGGTAACCCAAGCTTGGTTAATTCCTCCTTTTTTCTTATGCTCCATGAAATGAAAGGAGAAGGGCTTTTTTTCAGACTGCCCTAGGTAACATACATTGCACCTCTCAGAATTGTGAAAGGTTATAATTAATACTCCAAAATAGGCAACTAGCACTGGGAAAGCCCATGTGGTGATCCAAGTTTTCCTGAGGTTCTCCTTTTCTATGGTATTGCTTTATTATCAAATAAATTCAGAAAGCAGGTCTTGCACTTTAGCAGACAAGAATTACACCTGTTTCTTGCAAAGGTAACAGGTACATTGGGCTTCAAAAGTGACACAGAGGTTCAGCCCCAGACCTTGTGAAGACTTGGAACACTGAGCAGATGCCTCCTCCTCAGCCCCCATGTCAGCATTAGTTAGGGCTGGCTGTGAATTCCATGCCAGAGTCACTCCTACAGTTTGTTAGGGGTGGGCCTTGTCATCCTACCCTCTCACACATCACGGTCTAGTCTTTCCTTCACAGATCCCTCCTTGACACCCCTAACTTACTGAAGTTTGCTGTTTTACAGAGTAGAACTGATCAGGTTTAAGTCCTCCTGCTGTAACTACTGATAGACATATGGATCATCAATCCAGACCCTCACTACATACCCCTAAGGGGTCTAGCTTGATGAAAGGAGACTTGAAAAGGACCAGTGAGTGAAATAGACATAGCCATTATCATGGTGCCAGGACCTGATGATGTTCCAATTCTTTTTGCTACATGGGTAGACAAAGGTGGCAGACCAAGTTCGACTCAGGTGTCCACATTGTCCACACTGGGCAAGCCCTGCATTGATAATTGAACCTCGTGGAGGAACATCTTGGAAAGACATCCTTTTGTTAACTGTTTTATGTTGTTATCTTCTATGGGTAAAGGCTTCATGCCCTCTTTTCTTGCTTTGCTATTGATTTTGGATGATAGAGAATATTCCTGAGAGCATTCAGGTCCAATCTGCAGTATTGTCCTCCCTTTTGGCCCCTAGCCTATCCCAGCCACTCTGTTCTCTTGGTTGAATTCTCTGAAGGAAGGGTTCATGTGCTCTTGTCCTCTTAGTCAATAGTCTTCGTATAACTGTGTTATATATAACTGCTATAGATTCTCAGAAATCAGGGTAGAACTTTTCTTTGAGCAGTTTAGTGAGTGAATTCAGCGGCAAAGTGGCAAGAAATGGTTCTCCAGCCAAGAGAGGTTATGTTCATCCTCTGATTGCCCAGATTCTCCACTTACAGTGATATATATTGTAATCAGTGAGAGGTGCTGCTAGTGCCCAGTAGCACCCTGGGCACACAGCATTTCATGTTGTGTCAGAGGGTACAAACAATCCTCATGTAGAAACAGTGATAGAATATTTTGCACAGAGAAAAAAGAAAAAGACCCATGAATGTCATCTTTTATTTTCGGTTGGCTGATATTGGAAATTTTGTTCATGATACACACTTATAACCAATCTTGCCAAGATACTAGTTGTTTTGGTTTTTCACTACAATTACCTCTCGTTCTCCTGTCTAGACTGCTGACGTTCCTCAGTGATTCTATTGTCTATTTTATGGGAAGCAGCCTTTCCATGGGTTTCCTTTTACACACTGCAGGGCTATCTTTATACGTTAAAAAAAAAAAAAAAGGACAAAAACTATCACTAACCTCATGGGAGATTTGCATAAAACCATTTAGCCCACCTTGAGCACAGGGTAGATTCTTCTTATTTTTTTTCTTTTAGCTCATCGTAATAAATCTAATTCAGCATTATTGTGCTACCTCAAAGGTAAAAAATATTTTAAGGTCTTCTTGTGGTTCTGAGTTCTATTCATAGTGTTTGAAATGTCTTTCAATTGAAATTATTTTTTAAATCATGGGGGTGAATCTTATTTTAACCTGTTTTACACCTGTGTTATAATCTTAGAAGAATAAGTGATTGGAAAGCAATCAGTTCTTGCTCTGTGATATTGAACATCTAATGAACAGTCATTGAAAATTAAATCATTGTTTGCCATACACAAGGTTGGGTTTTTTAAAAGGAAACTCTAGGACTTGGCTTCACTCTTGATTAATAAAGGCTGACAAATCATGTCTGACTTTCTGGTGCAGTCCTGTGTCATGTGTTTGCACTTTTGCTTCAGGCCATCACAGCATTCATCTGGCAGATCTGGGATTGGGGGATGAGTCCTTGAAAATGAGGGAGAAAGCTGGGCTCGGTGGCCCAGCCTGTAATCCCGTGCTTTGGGAGGCTGAGGTGAGTGATTGCCTGAGCCCACGAGTTCAAGACCTGCCTGGGCAACTTGGCAAGACCTCGTCTCTACAATAAATCAAAAACCAGCCAGGCGGGGTAGCGCGTGCCTGTAGTTCCAGCTACTCGGAAGGCTGAGGCAGAAGGATCACCGGAGCCCAGCGGGTCGAGGCTGCGGTGACTGGGAGCGGCCACTGCATTCCAGTCTGGGCCACAGAGTGAGACTCCAACTCAAAAAAAAAGAAAAAAAGAAAAAAGAAAATGAGGGAGAAGACCTGGGCATGTGTAATAGTCTCGGTTCTCCAGAGCAGTCAATCAGGTGTGTGTGTGTGTGTGTAGATTTATTACAAGAAATTGGCTCACAGTTACGGAGGCAGGCGAGTCCCAAGATCTGCAGAGTGAATCAGCAAGCTAGAAAATCAGGACGGCCAGTGGTTTAGTTCCAGTCTAAGTCTGAACGCCTGAGATCCAGGAAGACCTGATGTTTAAGCTAGTGTCTGAAGGCAGGAGAAAAGTCAGTGTCTCAGTTCAAGGGCAGTTAGGAAGGAGAACTCTCTCATACTGAGGGAGGATTAGCCTTTTTGTTCTGTTCAGGCATTCAACTGATTGGATGAGGCCCACCCATTAGGGAGGGCAGTCTGCTTTACTCTGTCTACCAATTTAAATGTTAGTCTCAGCCAGGCTCGGTGACTCAGCCTGTAATCCCGCGCCTTTGGGAGGCTGAGGTGAATGGATTGCCTGAACCCGCGGGTTCGAGACCCGCCTGGGCAATTTGGCGAGACCTCATCTCTACAATAAATCAAAAAATCAGCCGGGCGTGGTAGCGCTCGCCTGTAGTTCCAGCTACTTGGAAGGCTAAGGCAGAAGGATCGCTGGAGCCTAGCAGGTCGAGGCTGTGGTGGCTGGGAGTGGCTACTGCACACCAGTCTGTGACAGAGTGAGACTCCAACTCAAAAAAAAAAAATGTTAGTTTCATCCAAAAATACCCTTACAGTAACACCTGGAATAATGTTTGACCAAATATCCGAGCACACTGTGGCTAGTCAAGTTGACACAAAATTAACCATCACAGCATGGTATTTGAATTATTGGGGATGGTGTACAAGGGTATCTAATATATCCCTTGCCAGGAAGATGAATTCACCAGTGAAACCCACCAGAAAACATCCTGTTAGACAGTATTATTTCCTTCTCTATAACATGGCTATAACAAGAACAAGCAAGGATGTGTGATAACACACTATACCTACGGTTTCTTTCCAGGTGACCAAAGGAAACTCTGGTGTAAAGCTTAGTTCTAGTTCGATCTTGCTTTCATTTGAACGGAGACACGTGCTTGTACCGAAGGGCCAGGTGATGGGAACATATGAAATACCCACATAGGGTCCAAGAAACTGGTAGCTGAACTCTCTCAAAGCCAAAGTGGACTTTTGTTTCAAAGCTTTAAAAATTAAATGTGGTTTGGTTTTGGTGGTAGTATTGCTATGACTTGGAAAGTTCCAGGACAATGTCGAGATCATATTATCCTCAGTCTCAACCTTGAAGAGGGAATGAAGACTTTGCATTCTATGTTAGCATCTTCTAACAGGGAAGCTAGAAATTTGTCCCATCAAAGTTACCTGACTGTATCCTAAGTGATCCTAGTGAATCATTTAATTTTATAGCACCAGAGTTAAGTATTACTCATTAATGTGGAAGAAAATTGGGCTTGTTTAACAAGGCATCATAAGTATAAATTTTACTTCCTTTACCCATTGTCTCCAAAGACAAATGTCCTATCACAGATGATATCCGGTGATACATATTGTTACCTGATTGGTTTTGGACATGCAAATAAAATGCAAGTTTCAATCAGGAACATACTAAATAATCAGTTGTGAATTCAGATGAGTATTAACCAAGTTCTGAATTGGAATGCCAAAAGTTAAGTCCAAGTTAATTTGTTTACTTAACAAATTCTGATGACCCTCCATGGATGTTCCTGACACTGTCTTTAAACAATTGGCAACAGTAATGGTACTGAGGTACACTGGGGGATTCCTGGACCTTTCCTCCACTGCTGATGAAGTTTATCCTCCATGTTTCCAGACTCATGCAGATATTTAGCAGCCCCAGTCTTCCAATTTCAAGGGTGATGATTA